AGTTGAGCGGGTAATATCGATCCAAGTGTGATTAAACTCATGGCGTGAAGTGTGGCATTCGTAGCTCAAGTAAGTAGAGCGTTGGCTTGCGTAGAAGGCCTTCCCTCCTATGCGGGTTTTAATCCCGCCGGATGCCGCGAGTTTTTTCACAATTGGGTCAATTAAATTAACCAAATCTACCAAAACTCCTTAATAATAAGATTTAGCACTAAACTTAACTTTAACCCTAACCATAAACATAAGCCTATTTTCCACGGAATTTAGCACAAAGACACCTGCACCGTGGCCGATTCCTGTTCTCATGTCTCGTTTTGGGGCCATATAAGTCACCCTTAATGCCCATTTATCCTCCAGCTCCTTCTGGTTCATCAGCAAACAATGCTGATCTGCTTAAGCATAGCTATTGTTCGGCATCGCCTAGATTAACGGAATTTCTGAGTTACGTTTTTACTTCATACAAACAACTGCTTGCAAGTGTGTTTGTTGCCGTTTGGTATATATTAAAAAATGTATCGGCTATACGAGCCCTGCCTGGCTTATTGACTGTTGTCAAACAGCCGTACCCAGCCCGGGGTTTTGAGGCACCTGGGGTTCGGACTCGTGACTCGGGGATAAGAAGTCCAACACCTTAAACACTGAGCTACGCGCTCGTTTCCCTGGGAGTTGTGATCGTAGAAATAGACCACAGCAAACATGCAGCATATATGGACTGGTTCTCCTGTCCTGTAAGAACACTCATCGTCTTTATTCGGACCTGTCATTGTCACAGGTAGCAGAGGGATGTGAATATGAGGTGAACACTGCACGGTCAGCAGCGGGACAATGATTGTCCTCATCAGTCGCGACCGGCCAATTAATGATGTCCGACTGTCTGGAAATATATGCCATTGAAAGACAGCAGGCCACATTCGCAAGGCCGATTAACTGAAATAGAGTACGGCCTGAAATTCGTGTAACATGCCGACATTTGCGAAAGATTGATACTCTCGCGCTAATCGGCATTGACTCAGGCTATAATACTGATTAGCCTGTAGTCTATTCTGAAGTCACTTCAGTCAGGACAGGATGCCGGCTTTTTAACGAGCTTCATTCTGACCGCTAACAAAACGTACGTGCTGTAAAATGCTCTAATTAAGTAGTATGCCTTTTATCACTGACTTTGACTGCCTTTATAAATTCAAATATATCTTATGGAAAACAGAGACGAAAAAATTATTTATTTTAAAAAAGGGTTCTTAATTACCGAAAAGATTTGAAACCTACGGACTGTTACACTTGAGTTCAAGTTTTACAATCTGCGCGCTGTGTACATCCTGTTTGAGGAAAACTACGTTTTCGTCTGCGGTTTGAGGAAGAAGTCGCATAGTTCTCATAAAAGCGTGCAACAGATGTGGAACATGCTGTATACATTGTAGGCACCATTAATAAATTTACGAATATGATGCATAATGAATGAAGACCTCACAATCGAAAAAAGAGCTCATTATTAGAAACTGCCTTAAATCCAAAAATATCGTTTCTTTAAGTATAAAATTTAAAGGCGTATTTTGGTACCAGACGAGTACTAGAAATACTTTTTTCGTTTATGTTTTCAATAAAAATATATTTGAATTTATAAAGGCAGTCAAAATCTAGGATAAAATGCCTACAACTTTAGAAGCTGCTTTTTACAGTACATACGTTAGCGGTCAAAAGGAAGCTCGTTAAAAAGCCGGCCTCGTATTGTGACTGAAATTACTTTACAATAGGCTACGGGATAATCAGTATTACAACCTTACTCGATGCCGATTAGCGAAAGAGTATCAATATTTCGCATACATCGGCGTGTTATATGAACTCTAGGCCCTACCGTATATTTCGGGTGGAAGAGACCAGCGAAAGTAGGTGACAATTCAGACAGAAACACTAGTTCGTTAAAACCGGTGTAGACATGGTAGTCCCTCGTGAGATACAAAAAAGGATGCTTACTCATATTTTAAGCGACAAAGCAAACAGCAATTCAAAGCCTTAGTAACTTACTGCATAATGCCCGGAACACCGAAAGGCGAATAGCCCGTGATGTGAATACCTTTTGACTGACAGTATCTGATTAATTTTTGATTCGGCCAATTCACAGAGACTTCGATTTGATTCACCGCAGGGGGTATGGAGCAGCTGGCCAGAATCCGATCAATTTGAGCTTTGTTGAAGTTGGACACACCGATCGATCTGACGAGGCCGCGTTCAACCAGCTCTTCCATGCCCTGAGCAGATGGAAAAAAAACAGAAAAACTCTGAAAATGTAATTCTACCAGCAGATCTATCCGTGGCATACGAGCCAGTTGAAGAAGTTTTGAATTTACTTCGTGAAGTAGTATGTGCCCTGGTCGAGTCACGTTTGTAACTCCGAATTCGGGGCAATCGGTTTAGCACGTCTTTCTTGATTTGAAGGAGTGTGCTAATGGATGCGAAGTCTTCCCGTACTACGCACCAAAGTTTCTGACACATACCTTGCCGCACGTTGGCTTATCAACACTCTGTACTCTCATTTCTAGCGTGCTACCTCACGTGTAAAGAAAGGGAAATTCAAACGTTGAAATTAGACCAGTCTCTATAATAGACATGGACTTTATGTAAACCTTCAGATTTTGACTATTTTGTTATCTTATCTTTTGGTCTCAGTGAATGGAGCCATTTTTACTAAAAGTTTTGGATACTGTCCTTCAGAATAAAGAGCGTTTCTGTCTCTTTCTAACTTCTTAATAGTTCATATTTGAAACTCAGATGCACAAAAAAGGAGGAGACTCATAAACTGCATTTGTAAATAAGCCGCTTTGTGGCTAGCTAAAGGTTTAGTTACCTTCCAAGTTTCCTCCAACGGTGTGTTGTCAAATTCAATGTTATTCATATCAAATTCGGAGAACTGCATACCCTCCTTTACCTACGAGGACATACGGTCTGAAAAAATGGACTAACCTTGAAGGACACTGGCATGTGAACGAGAAACAGGTCCAGGTAGTTGAGTCTCAACCTTTGCAAACTTTCCATACAAGCTGGGCGCACATCCTTCAGGCGATGTGAATCGCTCCACAACTATTGTCAGTTCTGTAAGGCCACAACCGCTGAGTACCTTGGAAGTGATGAACATGTCCTCGCGTTTTACGGTTCCATCCTCGAACTTCTTTTTCAGGGCGTTTCCAACCTCGATTTCATTTTGATAGACGTGCGCACAATCAATGTGCCGGTAGCCCGCTTCAATCGCCCATACAATAGGCCTTTCTACTTCATGTGGAATTGACTGAAAATGAAAAAAAGTGAAGAGAAACAGACCAGCATGGTGCCAAATCCGAGTTGGGGTATTTTGTTACCACTATTGAGAGTCAGGAAGGTTTGTTGAGAAGCCATTGCGGGGACAGGAGCACGTCCGTCGTATCGCTTTTTGGATTTATAGTTAGCCTAGAGTGCGATGCAGTATGCTTCATTATGGCGTCAGCATTATTTGAGCGAACCAGTCATAGTTGCCAAACTATCACGAATGTGTTGGCAGACAGTAAACGAACCAATGTGTACCTTCACAAACATTTTGACCAATTGCAAGACCGGAACTGGTATTCGTTGAATTGAGGGGTGGTCAAAGGTACATACAC